GCATATCTTCTTTCTGATTGGTATTTTGGGATTCTTGGGATATATTCCCAGAAGTAATGACTGTGTCAAAAGGAAGTTCCATTTTTAATTTTTGAAGGCATTTCCTTACTGTTTTCCACAGTGGCTGCAAAAGTAAGCATTTCAAAAAAAAAAAAAGCATACAAGGGTTACACTTTCTCCACATATCATCATCAACACATATTGATTTATTGATAGTAGCATTCTGGCAGGTATGAGGGGATACCTCATTGAAGTTTTAATTTGCATCTCTCTGATTGATTAGTGACATAAGCATTTTTTTCATGTGTCTTTTGGCCAACCAAATATCCACTTTGGAGAATTATCTATTTAGGTCCTTTGCCTATTTTTATTGGGTTGTCTACCTTTTGTTGAGTTGTATAAGTTCTTTGTATATCTTAAAAATTAGCCCCTTTTTAGATGTATCATTGGCAAATATATTCTCCTGAATGGTGAATTAATTTTGTTGATAGTTTCTTTTGTTGTGCTGAGCTATTTGATTTGATAGAGTCCCATTTATTTATTTTTCTTTGTTTCCTTGGCCTAGGAGACATGATGGCAAAAATATTGCTATGAGAAATGTCTGATATTTTACTGCCTATTTTCTTCTAAGATTTTTATGGTTTTGTGATTTAACATTTAAGTCTTTTATCTATTTTGAATTTATTCTTATGTGTGATGTAAGTTGGTGATCTAGTTTTTGTTTGTTTGTTTGTTTGTTTGTTTTTTTGCATTTACTGGTCCAATTCCCCCAATATCATTTATTGAAGAGACTGTCTTTACTCCATATGTCTTGGCTCCTTTGTCAAATATTAATTGACCAAAATGATGTGAGTGATTTCTGGGGTCACTGTTCTGTTCTATTGTTCTATATGCCTGTTCTTATACTAGTATTGTTTTGATTACAATAACCTTATAATATTGTCTGATATCAAGTAGCATGATATCTACAACTTTGCTCTTCTTTTTTAAAAAAAAATATATATTTTGATTTTTTACAGAAAGGAAGGGAGAGGGAGAGAGAGTTAGAAACATCAATGGGAGAAAAACATTGATCAGCTGCCTCCTGCACTCTCCCTACGGGGTATGTGCCCATAACCAAGGCACATGCCCTTGACAAGAATCAAACCTGGGACCTTTGAGTCCACAGGCCGATGATATATCCACTGAGCAACACCAGTCAGGGCAAACTTTGCTCTTCTTTCTCAAGATTCCTGAGGCTGGTATTCCAACCAACTGAGCTTCTAGTAAAGGCAATACCAAGAAATTTTTTAGTAAAATTAGTAAAGTTTGAAAAGAAAAATATCCTTTGATACCTATACAAAGAGTATGAAGAAATTAAAATCAGGTTATTATGCTTTTTTACAATAACATTTTATGTTAGAAAAAAGGATTAATATAGTCAAGATTTTCAAGGAAAGGAAATGTGATTCCAGCATTTAATATCTAGTAAAACGTAGATGTACAGAGGGTGCAGATGAATGTCAACATGCAAGAGCCCAGAGAAAACTGTTTCTAAGAGGCCTTTCAAGGGAACCTACTAGAAAAAATGTTTGAGATATCAATGCTTAGAGAATTATTAACATAATGCATATATATATAATTTTATATAATGTTTTCTTATAAATATATGCATATAAAAGAGTCAAAAGGGATACATTATAATATGCAAATGATTATATTACCTAACAAGGTAGATATAATTATTTAAAAATGGGGAAGAATGTTATAATCCAAGAAAAAAAGTTTAAGTGTTTTTGGTAGTTGGTAATTGGTCTTTTATATTTAAGTGCAGTATATCAAAATGCCACAAGATTAATGGATTACAACAATAGAAATGTCTCATCTCACAGTTTCCTGGCTGGACCCTCTGTAGTTTCACCAGGCTAAAATTGTGGCCAGCCTGCTGCATGGTCATCCAGGGCTCCTTCAATGCTTGACAGAATCTTGGGCTTTGCATGTGTGACACTGAGGTTCCTATTTCCTTCGGGGTTGTGAGCAGGGGCACGAAATTGAAAACCTATTTGAAAAAAATGACAGAACACTTCCCCTAAGTTTTAGACATACAAGTCCAGGAAGCACAGAGAGTCCCAAACAAGATGGCCCAGAAGATGTTCACTTCAAGATACATTATAATTAAAATGCTAAGGGTTAAAGACCAAGAGAAAATTTTAAAAGCAGTAAGAAAAAAGCAGTTAGTTACCTACAAAAAAGTACCCATACAACTGTCAGCTAATTTCTCAAAGGAAACTTTGAAGGCCAGAAAAGAGTGGCAAGAAATATTCAAAGTGATGAAAAGCAAGAATCTACAACAAAGATTACTCTACCCAGCAAAGCTGTCGTTTAGAATTGAAGTTCAGATAAAGAGTTTCCCAGACAAAAAAAAAAAAAAAGGCTAAGGAGTTTATCACCAGTAAACCAGTATTACATGAAATATTAAAGGATATTCTTTAAGAAAAGTAAAAGATAAATAATATGAACAATAAAATGTCAATAAATACATATCTATCAACAATTGATTCTAAAAATCGAAATAAATGAACAAGGATTCTACTGAAAAAATAAACTGATGAATAAAATAGAACCAGAGGTATGAAAACATGGAACAGACTGAAGAATCTCAGAAGGAATGGTAAAGGAGGGTGGAAAGAGATTAATAACTTATGTGTATAACCCAGGAAAATAGACAATAGAGTGGTGAAGGCCTGAGGTGGGGGAGGATTCTGGTGGAGGGAGGCAATGGGCAGGAGAGGCAGACATCTGCAATACTCTCAACAACAAAACAATTTTTAGAAGGAAGGAAGGTGGAGAGGAAGAAATGAAGAAAGAATGGAAAGAGAAAAGAGAGAAAAAAGAATGAATAATGGTGAGGAAAAAAGAAAAATAAATTACTAGGACTTATATGAAAATAAAGCCTACAATGTTTATATCTGAGAAGATTTGGTCCAATGCATAAGTCCATTAAGTACATAAAAATTTTAAAATATGTATTTAAGGTTGAAAGGTAATAAATACATATATGATTATATTTAAATATTTTTTTAATTTCCCCCAAATAAGCATTCATATACTCACAAAGATGTCAATGGGAGTTTCATATCCATATCCTAGGCAAAAACTAATTTATTGTTGGTATGAAACTTAGTATTTTAATTAGTAAAAAGTTTTCAATTGGAAATTTACTTCCCCAAAATAAAATCAAAACAAATACAATTAGTATTCTCATATTTACTTATTTAATTTCCCTGACAAGTGAAAAATTAGTCCAGCTATAAAAATATAAGGCATACATTAAAGAAAACACGTTTACTCTCAAAAAGTGAGAAATTTTTATTTACAAGAATATTTTAAGGCCAAAGTAATAAAAACACAAGAGACAATATATAGTAAATATTTCCATTAAATAACAGCATGAAATATTCAGGAATACTGTTGTACATTATGTCTATTATTTCACAAAAACAGAGGGAAACATTAGGAATACAAATATTAAAGGCCAATCATCAAAATTAGTGTTTATCATAGACTACTATTTATATGAATAATGTAAAGAGATTGACTCATTACATTATTATATTAATATAAAATAGATTTCTGGTATATAATTATTTTTAAAATGAGAATTAGCATTTTAATTTATCCAATTCAAGTATTCATTCAGCCAAGTGAACAATATAAACCTCTTAAAAATCAAGATCTACAGCTTAATATTAGAAATTTTCTTAATTATAATACATAGAATATTCTGATTTTTACTGAATTACACTTTACAAAGATGTATATCAAGTGCTTTATAGCTTATAATAAAATCTAACTGGTCACTAAAATTCTTTGATAAAATTATCACTGTAATTGTATGAGGCAAAGTCCTATAATAAGATGAATGTAATAATGGCCACAATCTTTTCAAAAACAGAATATGGAAATTTTCGTTTTTAGAACTATGAATTTAGTTTTCCAAAATTTGGTTCCCAATGCTAGTTTCTAAATGTTACAGCAGAATTGGGGCGGGGAGGGAAGTGTGTAATAAAATGAAATGGTTTAATTGAACTCTGAAGAAAAAAGTTACTCTAGATCTTAGTTTGAAAACTGTATCTGGCATAAGTGATTCAAAATTATATAATAACGTTTATATCAAAGTTTATTGGTTAGCTAAAGGGCAAAAACTAAGAAGCAAGTAGAATGTAATATTTGCTTTCAACAAAGCAGACTGAGTAATAAGTGTTAGGGTGGGATAGGAAAGAACTCAAGCCAGGCAAAAGTTTCCTCTTGGACTTTCTCTATAAATAACTATTTTAGTTTTGGACTGTTCCTCAGTGTGCTCGTGTGATGGAGGGAGGAAGTCTGCCCACCCATAGAAAGCTCCCAAACCATCAGGTCTTTGTCCAGCGGTTCTAGAAAGGCAGCTGCTCCTCTGAACTCCCTGGGGCTCCATGGGACTTGGAAGTAAGGAAAAATGGAATCCAAAATAACACGTTAAACCATCCTAATAGGAATATTTAGTGAACCGAGTTGTTCAAATGCCAGCTAATAGTATAGATTCTAGCTAAAAACCATGGATAAGTATCTGTCTTGAAAATGCCTATAGGAAGTCAGTTTACTGGTTCTAGGTCATCCCAGAATCAAGGCTTCCTAAGGTCTGGGAAATCCTCAGCTACCGTTAGCTGTCTTTCCAGATATAATTTTAATAAATATAGTTTAAATCTTTTATGGGGCTTTGTAATCCCTTCAACCAAATAGGCTGCAGTTGTTTTAAGAAACTTTTATTTCATTGGAAAATGTGGGAGGGTATTTTGATATTATCTAAGTAAAATCAGTGGGTAAACACTATTCACCCCAAACCAAACGATGCTGCCTTCTGGGAGTTGTTGGAAAGGAAATCAAATAATACACCGAGAAAGCACATTGTGCACGCAGCAGAGCCCTTCCTTCAGCACAACCTGCCGTGCTCTTTCTGAGGACGCTCCGTGCCACCTGCTATGTCAAGTGTGAGGCTGTCTTTCTAAATCCAAAGCCACAAGCTTCTTAAGAACTTCAAGCACAATTTTATAACAAAACCAATACTGCTCCTGTAGATAAATATATGAAAACAACAGACAGTTAAGTAACTGAATACCAATATCCACTTTCAGAGTACACATTTGTAATTTTCAGCCACAGAGAATATTCCTAAAGAGCACACATTTAACTAAGAACTTCTTTAAATAAAAATATTTTTTAAATAGCAGAAACATAAATAATCACAATATAGTTCTTGGTCTAGAACTTAAGATTTAACTGAATAGAGGGGAAACTGACTCTCAAACTCATTTTGAATCACATTTTAAACTATTTTAGATATAGCCTCAGGTCTCTCAGACAACAATAGTTTAAATAAAATGCTCCATATTACTTAACATTGGACAAAAAACAGGTCAGCTTGAAGATTCAGGGTCTTAACCCCCCAAAATGACTAATAACGAACCTATGACTGAAATGATAGTTTTATGATATGCTAATGATGTTAATATTTTAGTGACAAGTAAATATCCCAGAATTGCTATCCATAAATTTATGAAAATACATTGAGACATGTTACTCTAACAAAGCTTGTGTGTGGGCACCGGGAAACGGGAAACTCGGTCTCAGTCTCAACTCTTTCACTTGCTATGGTAGCTACCAGAATGAAGTGATCTCATGGAAAAGACGCATTGCTCTGAACTTGAAGTTCTGCATCAGTAATGTCTACCTCAAAAGTGAGAACTCAGTGAGATCATGTGGGTGAAAGAGCTTTAAAAATTGTAATATGCTATACAGTGAATCTTTAGATTCATTATTCTTCAAATTAGAATTTATGCCATGAGAGCTTACCTTTGTTTGAATCATACCATGGCGTTGTCTTCTCATTTGGACCACGATATCTCTAATGTTGAACTGCAACAGGATGACAGTGATTCTATATTATCCATTTAGGGGGAACATAAACCTACAGATGGCCAAATGAGTACTCCATACTGCTTTCAGTGAAAAAGATGTCAACATTTACCAGAAAGGTCTCATTTTCAGTCATAAGAAAATGCACTATTTTAACCTAATCTAATGAATAAGCAAGACTTGTATAGTGGGTTTCCAGGAAAAAGCAGGAAGCAATCAAATAACAAGAAATGCTCTTGTAGAGAAATAATAACAAATTTTCCCCTGTGTATACTTTTCTGTTCTCCAAAGAGAGATCTTAACTCTCGGCATGATAACTCTGGAAAAGTCTGATACATACAAGACTTGTTCTGGCCACAATAGTAGCACAGCTGTTTCTTATAAAGAGTCCTCTCAACTCAAATGGAGACCCTGAGCAACAGCAGGCCCAACACCAGATTCTACACGTGTGCATGGAGCCCTGCTCTGCTGAGGGTGGTCACTGCCTGGGGTGGACCTGCAAAGGGCTGTTGCTGGGCCACAATGTCAGGAAGTCAGGAAGTGAGCAGTAAGTTTTAGAAACTTATGGCAGTCTGCTGCTGGCACAGGCTGAGGTATCATCAGTGGAACAGTACACAGGCCAGCTAGGGCATGGATAAATTTTCCTAGAGTCACATTGGTACAAGCTGAGGACCAGTCATGTGCAGCAAGACCATGATGACACCTGAAAATTCCAAGATTTGTCAACCATAACTCAAAAAAATGTAAAAATCAGAGAATATAAGCATTCCTTTACTTTTATAACTTGTCATTTTTATAATAATTTAAAATCTAACTTAGCCTTAAATTTTTTATATTTAAATAATTATATATGCAAAGTAGGTTGCAAAAAATGTATCGAGAAATCCTGTATATTCTTCACCCAGTTTCCCTAAGTTAAACCATGCAAGATAGCGGCAGTATAACATCAAAAGCAGAAAACTGACATTGGTACAACCCACAAAGCTTATTCAGATTTTGCCAGTTTTATGTGTGATTATTTGTGATTGTGTGTGTTTGTGTATCTTTGGTTCTGTGCAACATTATCACATTTGAAAATTCATGTAACTGCAAACACAATCGAGATTCCTGACTGTTACCACCAGATTTCCTAATGCTATCCCTATACCACAACCCCTAACCCTTGTAAACCAGAGAATCTGATCTCCATCTCTCTAGTTTGTTCTTTCAAAAGGATTATATGAATGGAATAATGAAATAGCTAACCCTTTGAAAAGGACCTGTTTTCATGTAGCATAATTGCCTTGAGACCCATCAAAATTGTTTTGCATATTAATAGATCTTTCCTTCTTATTGCTAAATTAGAGGCCTGGTGCACAAAATTCATGCATGGGGGGGGGGCGAGGAATAAAGGGGGGGACTGGGGAGAGAAGGGATGTCCCTCAGCTGAGCCTGCACCCTCTCCAATCTAGGAACACCTCGAGGGATGTCCAACTGCCAGTAGGATCAGGCCTAAATGGGCAGTTGGACACCCCTTTCACAATCTAGGACTGCTGGCTCTCAACCATTTACCTGCCTGCCTGCCAGCCCACCTGCCTGATTGCCCCTAACTACTTCTGCCTGCAAGCCTGATCACCCCCTAATTACTCCCCTGCCAGCCTGATAGACGCCTAACTGCTCCCCTGTCAGCCCAATTGCCCCCACTCTCCTCCCTTGCAGGCCTGGTTGCCCCCAACTGCCCTCCCCTGATGGCCCGGCCATCCCTAACTGCCCTCCCTTGCCAGCCTGGTCACCCCTAACTGCCCTTCCCTGCTGGACTGGTCGCCCCCAAAATCCACCCCCCCTTCAGGCCTGGTTGCCCCTAACTGTCCTCCCTTGCAGGCCTGGTCACCCCCACCTGTCCTTCCCTACTGGCCCAGTCACTCCTAACTTACCTGCCTTGCTAGCCTGGTCACCCCTCCCTCCCTCTCATGAAGGCCTTGTCCCTCACAACTGCCCTCTCCTGCAGGCCTGGATTGCCCCCAACTGTCCTCCCCTGTAGGCGTGGTCACCCCTAACTGCCCTCACCTGCAGGCCTTATCTCTCCCAACTGCCCTTCCATGCCGGCCATATTGTGGTTGCCATCTTGTGTCAACATGAGGGCAGCCATCTTTGACCACAGGGGCAGCCATCTTGTATATTGGAGTGACAGTAAATTTGCATATAACTCTTTTATTAGATAGGATAGTATGCTATGGTCTGGAAATATACCAGGTTTTTAACCATCAACTTAGTGAAGGACATCCAGATTGATTCCAGTTTGGAGCTGTTATGAATAGATCTGCAGGGAACATTGGTGTACAGGTTTCTGAGTAAACATTAGCTTTTATTTCTCTGGGATAAATACCCAAGAGTGCTATTGTTGGGGATATGCAGTTAAGTTTAGTTTCAATTTTTAAAGAAACTGTAGCATTATTTTCCAGAATTGGTATACTGTTTTTCATATCCTATCTAATAAAAGAGTAATATGCAAGTTAACCATCACTACACTACACCACAAGCCACTCTCACCAGCCAATCAGAAGCAAGTATGCAAATTAACCCAACCAAGATGGCTGTGGCCACGAACAAGCAGTAGGCTTGGGTTTCCCAGGCAAATGAGAAAGCCAAGCTTTTCACATACCCTGGCTGGCCCAGACCTCCATTTAAGGGTACAAAGTTTCAATTATAAAAGATAAATAAATCACCTCAAAAATGGTAACAAGCCAGAACCAGTTTGGCTCAGTGGATAGAGCATCTGCCTGCAGACTGAAGGGTCCCAGGTTCGATTCTGGTCAAGGGCATGTACTTTGGTTGCGGGCACATCCCTGGTGGTGGGTGTGCAGGAGGCAGCTCGTCGATGTTTCTCTTTCATCGATGTTTCTGACTCTCTATCCCTCTCCCTTCCTCTCTGAAAAAATTAATAAAATATATATATTTTTTAAATAGTGACAGCCATGGAGCTGGAGAGAGCAGGAGGGTTGAGTTGCCCTCGGTGATGGAGGAACCCAAGCTTCTGCGGCCTTGGCCTGCACTCAAGGCTACAAAGTTTCAATTATAGAAGATAAATAAATCTCAGATTACCAGCGCCTACACTTTGGTCACCGGGGGGGCATGGCTGGCCTGCAAACTGACACAGGTCCCTTGCCCAGGTTGCCCCACACCCCATGAGAACCTCGACCCTGTTCCAGGATACCCTTCAGGGCAAACCAGCTGGCCTTCACCCATGCACCAGGCCTCTATCCTTTCTAATAAAAGAGTGATATGCAGATTTACCATCACTCCAATACACAAGATAGCCAGCAGGGGAGGGCAGTTGGAGGGACCAGGCCTGCAAGGGAGGGCAGTTGTGGGTGATCACTCTAGCAGGGGAGGCAGTTGGTAGGGACCAGGCCTGCAAGAGAGGGCAGTTGGGGGCAATCAAGGCTGCAGGGGAGGGCAGTTAGGTGTGACCAGGCCTTCAGAGGAGGGAAATTAGGGGCAAACAGGCTGGCAGGGGGGCAGTCAGGCAATAATCAGGCTGGTCATCAAGTCCAAGGCATTCTTGATTGTAAAATGCATCATTTTATGCACACTGTCAATTAAGCAGACAGATGACATTATAAAACACATTTAGGATTTAAAGAAGGTACAATGTGGGAAAAAGAGTGCTTCTTAGGGTTATGAAATAGAATATTTACAGTTCTACAGTTTATATAAGGGATATAAAATAAAGATAAATATAAACAAACTACTTAAGAAATTATGATGAAAATAAATAAAAGGAAACTTATACTAATGCATTTTCTGCTAACAGGACAAAAGGTAACATCAGACTAACTTAGGATTTTTTAGAACATTTATCTTTTTTTTGGCCAGCCAGTTTATATTCATTCTATGTGATAAAGCCCTAGTTTATTCTGGAAAACCATTCCTCTCCTATTTTCAACCATAAGGCCTGGTACAGCCTCACTGGCCTACACTAACCAGCATCTCCCACAGGACTAGTTCAGTGAAGGGACAGTCTCAATCGGAACTCAGTCAGAAACAGTGAAATGCTAGGAGGTACTGGGCTCAGATTCTGAAAAGAAGGAAAACTGCTTGCTCTTGTCCATAGGAGTGACCAGGAGAGGTCATTTTCCTATCCTCCCACATCATGCAGCCTGAGGTCAGTGAGGTCCAGGGCCCAGGCGGCATCTGCTGTCACTGGTACAACTACCCAGAGCCTGAGAAGAAGAGTCTGACACCTGCTCCAACAACGACCTAACTTCAGCACTGTTTGCCGGGCATGCCCACAGCCCATCCATCTGGAATGAGCCTCAGGGTTATGCTCCTGGGCTTGACTGTGGTCAGAGCCCTGCCAGCTCAGTGCATACATGCCCACCCTCACTGCTGCAGCGCAGAATGCTCAGCAAGTGGCCTGGTTGGCCACAGATCTAAAATCACATTCCCTCATCAGTGTAACCAATAATAAAGGCAACAGTATAATCACCACATGTCTAAATTAAGAGGAAAGCAAAAACTTGCTAATGAATAACTCAAACCCAACAATATTATTATCCATATTTTATATATGAGCAAACTTGGTTGCAGAGAGGATGAACAATTTGCACAAAGTCACCAAAAGTCTACAGTGTGTGGCAAAACTGGCAGTCACTCCCAGAACCTCTCAATCACTCTGAAGTTTGCGTTTTTTTCAACGTGCTACATGCATGTCGTCTGTCCATTCCAAACAGGCACATGTCACCAACCTTCTCCAACAAGGCTGGGAAGAGGCCCCTGGGGGTGGAAGGCAGAGAAAGGACGATGCACTCTCACTCAGTGTGTATGTACTATGTTCTAAGCCACTCGTTTCATTATGTGCTTCACTCCTCACACCACCTCCAGGAACCTGCAGCAGTTAAGGAGCAGGTACCCAAAGCTCATGTCTATTTACTAAGTAGCTCCTAGTGACTAAGTTGCTCTTCAGAGCTAACTAAACATTAGTCAGTCTTCAGTGTTAGAAGACTGCTGCAAGTGGAGTTTTACTGACTTGGGTTTATCTGTGTAATTCCACACTTACTGGGAAATTGTTCTCAATGGCGCAGAACACCACGTCCACACAGATGAACACCCCGGTGCGGCCCACTCCCGCGCTGCAGTGAACCACGATGGGCCCTGTCACCTGGCTGCTCCTCACGCTGCGGACATACTGTATGAAACCATCTGGTGGCGAAGGAGTGCCGTGGTCTGGCCAGTTGGTGAACTGCAACTGTTTTACAAAGTGCTTAATTCTTGTCTGTTGAGAGAGAAAGGAGGTAGGAGAGAGGGAGAAAGAAGGAAGGGAGAGATAGAGAAGACAGATATATCAACCTCTTATATTAAAGGCATCATTTTAATTTCTAATATACCAGAAATAATATCTTAATAGAAGAGTAATATGCAAATTAACCATCATTCTGCTATCCCCACAAGCAATGCCCACCAGCAATGTCCACCAGCCAATCAGAGTGAGTATGCAAATTAACCCCAAGATAGCTGCGGCCACAGAGAGCAGGAGGGAGGCTTGGGTTTCTCTGGCAATGGAGGAAGCCAAGCTTTTCACATACTCTGGCCAGCGAAGGGTACAAAGTTTCAATTATAGAAGGTAAATAAATTCCAACAGAAATGGCATCAGCCAGGGAGTTGCAGAGAGCAGGAGGCTATGATTGTTTCCGGTGATGGAGGAAGCCAAACTTTGCAGCCCTGGCCTGTTCAGGTCTTCACTCCAGACTAAAAAGTTTCAATTATAGAAGATAAATAAATCCCAGATACCAGGGTCTCTACTTGGATCACAGGGCATGGCTGGCCTGCAAACCACTACAGGCCCCTTGCCCAGGCCACCCCAAGGGACCCCCCACCCTAATCCAGGACACCCTTCAGCGCAAACCAACTGGCCCCCACCCATGCACCAGGTCTCTATCCTATCTAATAAAAGAGTAATATACAGATTGAGCATCACTCCAAACACAAGATGGCTGCCCCCATGTGGTCAAAGATCCTGCCCCCATGTGGACACAAGATGGCCAACACAAGATGACCAGCAGGAGGGGGCGATCAACCCTGCAGGGAAGGGCAGTTAGGGGTGACCAGGCCGGCAGAGGAAGGAAGTTGGGGACAAACAGGCTGGCAGGGGAGCAGTTAGGCATCCATCAGACTATCAGGAGAGTGGTTAGGGGTGATCAGGCTGGCAGGCAGAAGCAGTTAGGGGCAATCAGGAAGTTAAGCAGGCGATTAGTTGGGAGCCAGAAGTCCTGGATTGTGAGAGGGATATCCAACTGCTCATTTCATGCAGTTGGACATCCCTCGAGGGGTCCCAGATTGGAGAGGGTGCAGGATTGGCGGAGGGACACACCACCCCCTCCAGCCCCACCCCCATTCCCCATCCCCCATGCACGAACTTTGTGCATCAGACCTCAAGTGATAATAATAATGATGGCTATAGGTACTACAATAATAAACATAAGAATATTAATAGGTTACATGAATTGGGCACTTGTTATGTTCCAGGTACTGTGCATTATCTCTTTTAATCCTCACATCAGTGTTTAGAGGTGGCACTATTTATCCTCATTTTAGAGAAAAAGAAGTAAGGATTAGCATGACTACTAGGTCTGAAGGCTCACAGGTCCAGAGCTGAGACTATCAAATAGGCCTCCTGAATCCAAGTCTACTATCTTTCTTCTGCACCATGAGGTTACAGAAAAAGCAGAAATTCAGATGGCCCAACATGTTATGAATATAGAATAGCAATCTACCTTAACTTAAATGTCAGTAAATTAATTAAAATGGGTCTGTGCTATCAAGTTGCTTGATTGTCCTCTGGCAATGAGGACACAGTGCTGAGCTCCTGGGTGTGGAGTCATGAAACTCCTCAAGACTGACAGGTAAAGCACGTTGAGTTTTCTAATCATCCCTTCCAAAAGGATCGTCCCCATCCAGGGCCAGCCCTCCTTTATTTCACTGGTGACCAGTGGATCTTCAGGATGGGTTTATCACTCCTTCCCTGCTGCCCTAGTGCACCATTTTTCTTGAGTTCCAAATAGATCAAGTTTGAATAATCAGTACCTAAAAGTCAGCGATGAAAATGATCCATGAAAATCCTGTGAAGTTTAGGGTAACTCTCACCCTATCACATATTTCAAGGACTAAATCTCTCCATGGAGAGTTGCTTTCCTGACTGGCCCAGTGCAGTGATGACAGGCCACTAGTGCAGTTCTCCAAACAAAACCACATGGATCTGAGGCTTGTGGGCCCCAGCCCAAAGGCCAACATCCTGTTCCCCTTTGCCAAGACTCTGTAAGTGTATTCCAGAATTTGAGTTCGTGCAGACAGACTGTGCCTCCTGCCTGGCCTACATTTTCCAAGCATGCTGCCCTCTCTGGCCATGGCAGGCATCACTCCCCATTTGGAACTGATGTGGCTGTTATCTTCCTTCCATGCCAGCCTGCAAGTACTCTAAGACTTGAGACTGTGTTGCTTTATATCCCCAGCCCCTGACATGCTACCTGGTTAATAGGAAGGAATCAACAGGTATCAGAAGAATGAGGGATCAAGAGAGTGCCCAGACACATAGGACAAGCTTGGTACCCAGCACACAGCCAGCAAGCTCTGAATCCATGTCAGCCATTGTTATTCCTTGCTCCTCACTCTGGGCTCAGAACTCCTCATTCTCAAGTCTTCCTTTACCATCCTTCCTTCCTTACTCCTCTCTCTCTTAACTTCTTCCTTTGCATTCAGGGCCACCATCCCACAATAATATCTTAGAAACAACAGTCACCTTCCTAAATGTTTCTTCCCTTTTCTTGCCTTGCCTTGCCTTGCCTCCCACAGGCACTTTACTGTTTGTGGTGCTCTGATGAAGGCCACCTGTCCTCTTGTCCCCACGTACCACAGAGCACAGAGACTAGGTTACATATGGCTTGCTGCCCACTCCCATTTCCAATTCACTATTCCTTCTCCTTGAAAAAAAACAAAAACAAAAACAAAAAAACAAAAAACAAAACAAAACAAAAAAACCCTTTTCCTTTTGAGTTTACAGATTTCCTAGCTTCATCTTCTTATTGTTATAACCCAGTAGCTGGACCTCCTGCTTGATCTACTACATTCACGGCACATCCTGACCTTCTCCCTCCCACAGGTTCTGACACCGTCTGGGGTACAGTCAAGGTCCCCATAATACCACTGACATTCTAACTCACAGCACCTTTATTTCTCTCTTGAAGAGGAGAGACTCCTTCCTCCTAGTCCTCACAGTGGTGAGCATTTCCTGGACTTCCTACCACCACCTGCAATGTCAGGGATCAAAAAGCTTCCAGTTCTTAAAATCGACCATCACTGTCTGACAAGAAGCTTGTATGCTAGCACCCCATTTGTGCTTCACTTCAATGCAACCAAATGCACTCTCCTGTCCCTTGTGTCCTCCACGTACTCCTATTTGATTGGCCACTAATTCCATTAACCTCTCTAAGTTAAGACTTCATGACTAATTATCAGAATCATTCTCTTACAAACTGTCAACTCCCTTTATCATTTGAATCTTGCCACAGATTACAGACAATATCCCACCCTGGGCCAGTCCCATAACTGGTGGACAGAAATCCCATAGTCTGGCTGTGGGGAAGAATATAATCACATAATTGCATATTTTATTGCAATTAAAAATGTATAGCTTCCAACCTCAGCACCTCCAAAAACCGTTTTTCTAGTCATCATGCTCCAATCAAATCAACTTCTTTGGTGATGACTCCAAATCTCATCACTTTTTTCAAGCTCCCTGTTTAACTCCCATCCCCTTCATTCTTATGGAACACACATATCACGTACCTGATAATCAAATCTATTTAGAGAAGTTAACTCATCACTTCCCCCTATAAATCACTGATTTTCTATTTTCTGAGTCTATAAAGCAAGAAATCTGTGTATTACTCCAGACAACACTTCCCAACAGAACTCCCTACAATGATGCAAGTGTTCTATATATGTGCTGCCCAATATGGTGGCCTCTGGTAACGTGACCACTGCAACTGGCTACCATATTACACAGCATAATTTTGACCACTCCTTCTGTCACTTATAAGTCAAAAGTCATGTCATATATAAGTCTGTCAATTTTATCTAAAAAAAAAAAAATACCAAAGTCTCTGTTTTCAATTTCAATACCAACTTCCCTAGAGACAATGGCACTTTCTTACTAAAATTCTTCAATGTCTCTCAATTATCTTCATAATAAGGTTTGGCTCCTTCGCTAAAATCCAAGAAATTTCAAGTCTGGCTTTCCCCTGCTTACTTTCAGTAGCCTCATCTCATCTCTCATTACTCCCTGATACTGCAATTTTATGTCCCAGAAATATTTAACTACTTATATTTCTTCATATATACCTCGTTCCATTTTATATCTTGATCATTTGCTCCCTCTTTCCATCTTTCTCATTTGTGAAATTCTCAATTCAGATGCCATTACCTCCAGCAAACCTTCCCAAAACCACAAGTAATGTTAAGTACGTCCCTCCAAAGCTCCCAAACCCTCCACATGGGTCTCAATATTACCACTGAGCACACCAAACTCTCCACCACTCAGTAAGCAGTGCCTGGCACATGACTAATATACATTCAGATGACTAACATACCTTCACATGACTAACATACTTTCACATGACTAACATACCTTAAGGACTCAGTACACATCTGTCACCCTTGGCAGAAGCAGCCCAAGTACATCCCAGAATTAGGCAACTTTCGATACTCTCTCACTCCATTCCCCTTCCCATTCCTTCCTCTCTCCAGCCAGAGTTTGATTAAGCACAAGTATAAATGGGGGTTTTAGTTTCTAGTTCCAGAGAGAAATAAAATTAAGTTATTTAAAAAGTATCCCAGTCTATATGCTACCCTACGCCTAACTTCTTGTCCTGACATGCATGCTTATATAATGAAATATGTATCTGATACTGATTTTTTTAAAACTTACATATTTCCTCACAACTTGAAATAATCGAATGGTGAAATATGGAAGGATCTGGTAGTTCTCCAGGAAGATACGACAGTGTTTCAGTTCCAAAGGCTTCTTCATAGAAACGGGCCAGTAATGGTGGCATTTGGTAATCCCGCCTTCTATCTCTCTTGTTATCATGACAATAACATTAGAGTTATGTTCCAAAATCATTTGCCAAAAGTCATCTGTGGTACTTGGCAGTGGCCCTTGGGTACCGATATAGAAATACTCTTGTCCACCATTGATTATCCTAATATAACTAGCATTAATGTAGTCCTTGTTTTCTCCGAGAGGAACACGTGTTGAATCATCTATTACAAAACAGAAACATCTGGTAGATAAGGAAAAGCAGGAGATGCAATACACCCAGACTTCCTGAAAGTATTTAATGCAGATAAATACATTGATCTCTTTGACCAATAGAGAAAAAGGTATATCTTTGAGTCCATAAATTTAAATTCTTCCCTCCCCAAAACCTACTGTCATGACCTAAGAAGTATACAAGTAGGGAAGTTATTTATTTTAAACTATGGCCCAGTGCATAAAATTCATGCACATAAAAAGGGGATTAATTAGAGAAAATAATTTAATATTGCTGTTTACCCATTCTCTATAATAGAAGTGTCAGAGATGAAAGAAAATTAGTAAAATGTATATGAAAATCCTCCTTTCAGAATCTGGTGTGCATCATGGGACCCAGAGTCAAGTCCCCACCCACCCACATGTGCCTCAAAATCACATGAGACCCAGACTTGCCGGCTCTTGCCCTCATTAGGCTAGATCCAGACCTGGCCAGTCCCACCCTTGTCAAGCCCTGCCTCAGGTTCCCTGGTCTGGTGACAGGACAAAGGGTGTGGCCTGAGGTCCCCCAGCCCAGACCAGGGTGGGGGCATATCTTGAGATCCCCTGCCAAGCTGGGTGAGGGGCATGGCCTGAGGTTCCCCATCAAGCTTCATCAGGCAGGAGGACACAGCCTCAGGTCCCCTGTCAAGCCCTGCTGGGCAGGGGGTGCGGCCTGAGTTCCCCTGACCCAGGACTGGGGATGCACCTTGAGGTCCCCGTCAAGCCCTGCTGGATGGTGAGCACGGCCTGAAGTCCCACGTTAAGCCCCACTGGGTAGGGGGTATGGCCTCAGTTCTCCTGGCCTGGCACTGGGGTGGGGAGCATGACCTGAGGTCCCCTGTAAAGCCCTGCCAGTTGGAGGATACGGCCTGAGTTCCTTCATCAAGCTCCATGGGGTAAAGGAGGGCATAGCCTCTGGTCTGTGCTGATTGCTCCTTAAGGCTCCTTATGGCAACTTGGCCTCAGCTGTGGGTGCAGCCATCTTTGTGATGGAGTGATGGTCAATTAGCATATACCCTCTTTATTAGATATGATAATTTTCTACTAAACAGAGAAGGATGTCACCAGTATCCAGATACTGAGAGATTTCTGGTATGCAGGCACAGGTGGGATTAGGTCAAAAGAGGGGCCTACTAGTCTACAACAGAACACAGCCAAGAAGGAGCCCTCCGAGGGAGCCAGTGAAGAGCAGCCCCAGAAATCTGGGGAACCTGCAAAGCCCAAAACAGCAGAGCCAGTGGAAAACTCAGCAACAATAACTGAGAACAAAGGTAGTTGACCAAATACAAACACTAGCATAACAGAATCCTATCAATGCCACAGATATGCAGCCAGCCCTCTGAAAGTCCATCCTCAGTTTCACTGGTGAAGTGGAAATTGCTAATCAAAGCAGATGGATTATGGGAAAAAGGATGCTATGAAGGGCATTTTCTCCAAGCAACATGGGACTCGTCTGATATCAAGTATTACAACAAATATGAGAAGGAAAAGCAGTGGCTTGACTCACTAACAAACTCCACCGACCCAGGAATGGAGTTACAGTGACACCTGGAGCTCCACTCTCCTATGGCTCTTCACAGAGAGGATGAAAACCTCAACAAAGGAGGGGCCTGCCCGCCCAGCCGGGAGCCATCACACCAGCAGTCTGTCCCTAAGATCCCAAGTCATTGGGACCCCTTATTTAACAAATATGCTATGATAAGATAATTGAGGTACCACCTCACAACTGCCAGATGGCTACTGTCAATAAGTCAACAAACAACAAGTGCTATGGAAGATAGAGATAAAGGAAACCCTGGTGCACTGCTGGTGGGAATACAGACTGGTACAGCCACTATGGAAAACAGTATGGAATTTACTTTAAAAATTAAAAATAGAACTGCCATTTGACCCAGCAATCCCATTTCTAGGAATATATCCTAAGAAGCCCAAAACACTGATCAGAAAAAATATAGGCACCATAAATAGCAGTGCTATTTATATTAGCTAATATCTAGAAACAACCCAAGTGGCCATCAGATGAGTGGATAAAAAAGCTGTGGTACATTTTCATAATGGAATACTATGCAGCTAAAAAAGAGAAGGATCTCTTACCTTTGAAATGGCATGGAGGGACCTGGAGAGTATTATGCTGGGTGAAATAAGCCAGTCAGAGAAAGACAAATATCACATGATATCACTTAAATATAGAATCTAATGGACATAATAAACTGATGAACACAATAGGTCCAGGGCACAGAACAACAGAACAGACTGACATATCTTTAGAGGATGGGGGTGGGAAGGCAGGAAAATTTTAACTAAAGAACTCAGGTACACAGACAATAGTGTGGTGAAGGCCTGGGTTGGGATAGGGTCTTGGTAGAGGGAGGCAAAAGGTGTGGAAAAATCCAGGAACATCTATAATACTTGCAACATTAAGATATATACACATATATACATATCCTATTTAATAAAGAGGGACTATGCTAATTGACCCTCATGCAGTCACAAAGATGGTGGTGCCCACAGCCAATAAGGCGGGAATACACTAATTAACTGCCAGCTTTCAAAGATGGTGGCATCCACAGCCAATAAAAAGGGAGTATGCTAATTGACTACCATGCCCTCAAAGATGGCAGTGCCCACAGCCACAAGATGGCAGCACCTAGTCCCCTCAGCTCAGCCAGCAGTAGCAACAAAAGAGGTGTGATGGGACGTTGCCTTCCCCTGATCGCCGGGGTGCCTCCTGCTTCTGTGGGCTCCCAGACTTTGAGAGAGGCAGGCTGTGCTGAGGGACCCCCCTTCCAGTGCATGAATTTTCATGCACCAGGACTCTAGTCCTGTATAATAAAAGCCTAATATGCAAATCGACTAAATAGCAGAACTGGTTGGTATGATGCACACTGACCACCAGGGAGCAGATGCTCAACACAGGAGCTGCCCCCAGCCCACAGGCCCCAAATCATCCAAATGGGTGCCAGTGGGGGCCCCTCATTACCCCACTTGTTGCCCACAGATCTGCCCTGATCACCAGCCAGGCCTAGGGACCCTACCTGTGCACAAATTTCATGCACCTGGCCTCTAGTATACATATACACATATATACATACTAGAGGTCCTGAGCATGAGATTTGTGTCTGGGAAAGGTCCCTAGGCCTGGCTGGCGATCAGGACCAAAGGGGGCCTTCTGGCTGTCAACCAGAGCCTCTCTTCCCTGGCTGCTGGCTGCTGGCTTCTGGCTGCTGGCTGGGGCCTTCCTTAGTTCCACGCCACCCCTTGGTGATCAGTGCACATCATAGTGAGCGACTGAACTCCCAGTCTCCAAGTCAAACTCCCAAGGGGAAAATTTGCATATTAGGCTTTTATACCTATATCTATATTTATCTATATATAGATAGATATGATATATAGAGATATGATATATAGATACAGACATATAGATATAGATATATAGATATAGAAAAGATATAGATATATAGAGATATAGATATAGATATATAGATATAGATATGAAAGTAGTTATAAACAAAGGTTGTCAGGGTTTTGCTTCAAAATCCCAGGGCTTCATTTTAACCAATTACCTCTTTAAAGGCCCTATCACCAAGCACACCCACATTCTGAGGTCCTGAGGGTTAGGACTTCAACACACAAATTTTGGAGGAACTCAATTCAGCCTATAATGTACACTATGTACTCCTTTGATTGGATTTTTCACTGCAGATAATTTTTTTTGGATATATACAACATTACTGTATGTTGTTGAATGCATCATTAGTTTCCTATTTTTTATTGCTGAGTAGAAATTCCATTGTGTGGGCATACCACATTTGTTTATCCACACTGCGTTGTTTTTAATTGGGGGCTATAGCAAATAAAACATATGTGTGTATTTGTATGCAAGTCTGTATGCAGACATTGATGAAGCTGCCATGCTGAGTCCCCGAGTGTGCATGCTTATTCTCACTCAGCTGGTCTGCCTAAGACCTCCTGAGTGTCAGCCCTAGTTCCCCAGGTAGCCCCGTTTCCTCTCCAACAAGATGAAAGAAACTATCATGAACCAAGAGAAACTCGCCAACTTCAGGCACAAGTGCGCATGGGTGGGAAAGGAACTGCAGGTAGAAAGAAGGTGGTGGTTCACAGAACAGCTAGAGAAGATGATAAAACATTTCAGTTCCCCTTAAAGAAGTGAGGGGTAATCAGTATCTCTGGTACTGAAGAGGTAAATATGTTCACAAATCATGATAGGCCATGCTGAGACCTATCATGCAGATGAAATGCTACCTTGCATCTTAAACCAGCTTGGGTAGACAGTCTGACTGGTTTAAGGAGACTGGCTGAAGCTCTGCCCAAACAGTAAGTGGGTGGAAAAGCACTGCTTGCTACTGGAGAGATAATGATGAAGTTCCAGATCTTGTGAGGATCTGATGAGGCTTCCAAGAATGAAGCAAGCTGAATTGAGTCAACTATAAGAGGATAAACTTGAAGTTTCCGGGAGCTGCTATGACTGCTTTTTCAAATTTGTTTATGGATCTGATAAAATCTAGAGCTCTAATATTTTCTAGCCCAATGTTCCTGGACATTTACAGCTCTTTTAAGTTTTTGCTTTATACATAAATCATTGTTTGCAGCTAATTAAGCTGAAGAAGCTTGGGAATAAACTTTGAAACAGGTTAATAAAGTTATTTTACAGAATTTTATTAAAGATTTAACATGATAGTAGCATGTAACAAAAGTGCTATAAAGTTTTCATGTTTGAGAACATCCCTTCAGTAGCCCTCAGGGCTTCCATGGTTTATGTGATGGGTATAATTTTAATATGAGAATAGAATATTCCTTAGTGGGAGAACAAGGTTTTTTCCCCTCTTAATGTTGTCTGTATCATAAACATGCACTGAGTGCCATGGCATATGTAATTTTCTCTCATTTTATTCTCAATCAATGAAGTAGGAACTAGTTACTCTATTTAGTAAATGTAACTGGAAGTTAC